AATTGGTAGGTAATTTTTACGGTTCTACTAAAAGATAACATTGTCAGTATTTTGGACTAACCTCAAAAACAAAGGTATTTCTGTTTTTCAGGAGTGAAGTTACAATATAGATAATGAATGCCTATTTAACATCTGTAAAAAAATTTGGGACAATGCATAATTTAGGGTTTGATTTTTATAGATTAATGTTTTCTAGTGTTGGTTTCCTTGATAATTAAATTTTGAATATGTTTACTCATGCCTTCCTTTGGAAACCAAAGGATCATAAAGTTTATAATGATCTGTACTCCTTTGTGCTTAATGTCTAGTGATGTCTTTAGCATATAGTAGGGAACAATAAATATTTGTTGAGGGAATAGATGAAAGATGGGATGACAGGTTAATTTTCACATATAAAATTAAGTATCCACAGGGAGCATATTGTTGTTGCTTCTTCTGAAAGGCCAAATGAGTCTTAAAATAAATAACCAGAGTTAAAATGGATGAAAGAAGTTGAAAAGGATGTTATACATGCTCTTAGCTCCATAATAATAGTTTAGAGGAGGAAATTATGACCTTGCTTACTCCCAGATCACTTGAGTGGGAAGTAAAGATGATAGAGGAAAAAGACAAGTAAGTGCCCTTCTACCAGAGCAGACTGCTGGGGGAATCAGTGTAGTACAGTTGTCTGATCTTATTTCTGTTTAGCTGGTATAGTTTTGAACCTTGCAAGCAGGTAAATGATCCTTGAGCTTTACTGGCTAGTACATCTTTATAAGAAAAAAGCTATGTGTGTGAAAGCCAAGTAAAATGGAAGTTTTAATTATTATGTTTTCAAATTTAAAATAATTGTAAGCCCAGCTATTTTGCTGTTTGATTTGAAAGATAAGGCAGACTAGTTGATTGATTCTGTCATCTTATCCAACTGTTCCACATTTTGGAGGGAGTAGGAACTATTTTGAAGGGAGGTCTTTGAAAAGTGATGAGTAAGATAATGAGTGGGAGGGGTAATGTTTATTTAGTCATTAAAGGGAAGTGTGCAGGCACTTTTATATCTTGTATAGTCTAATTTAATCTCTCAGCAAGTCTCTGGGAGGTAGATATTATCACAGTTTCATAGATGAAGAAACATATTCAAATAAGTTAAGTAACTTGGAGTTGAGCCAGACTCAAAGCCTCTTTGTCTTCAACATAATAATTCTACTACTCGTAGAATAGTTATGGGCAGTTATATAATATTTCAACTTTAGTCTGAATTTTTTTTTTTAGTCTGTATCTGGAAAAGTCAGTGCATGTACATACTTGTTTGTGAGGTCCAGATTCAGTGCCCAGGAAAATGGGGGAAAAAAAGAAAAAGAGTACTAGTGGTTCAGTATAAACTCTAGAAAATTAATTCAATGTGTTAATTATATTTTCTTCTTTAGAAGGAGATTAATTTGGAGGATATGAGAGACTCATTTAATGTAAGATAGTATTGTGCAGACCACTCAAGTTATCTGAAAAAAATAAAGTGAAAAGTGAGTGTTGTTCATGAAGCAACAATTATACTTTACTATCTCATGGGAAGGTTTGGAGTAGGAAGACTGTATATTAGTATTTGGAAATAAAGATAACTGAATTCCTTTCATAACTTATTGACTAATGATATGACTTAACCTCTATAGTTGATTTTTCCCTGAGAAAGGATATATAGTGCCTGCTATCTGGTCTAAGTCATTTTAGAAGTAATTTTGAGATGAAACAATTACTGTGTATAAAGTTTCTTGAAACTGTTGACACAAATTAACCTATACTATTCATAAATATATTATTGGACATGGGAAGTTGGTAATAATAAAAAGGATATTTGTAGATTTTGGAGTTGGATAGTCTTGTGTGTGATTCTCAGCTTTGTTGTTTTCTAGCCATCTGACCCCTATGAAGTTCAACTTATTTAAATTGGCAGCTATATTAATTATCAATTACTTAAAAAATAAGTTTCACCATAAATTTTGTAGTTTAAAATATCATACTTTTAAAAAAAATTTCAGTTTCTGTGGTTCAAGAGTCTGGATATGACTGTTGTTGAAGTATTGCCTAGGACTAGCGTTCCAGAAAACTCTAATATGTGGGGGATGCAGGCTAATGCATTGAAAGCCCTCAGTTACTTGCTAGTGGTTATTTAGAAGTTGCTTTCAGTTCCTTGCATTTGAGTATCTCCTATGGCAGCTTACTTCATCAAACACAAGGGACTGAGCCTTGGACTAAGACAGAAGTCAAAATCTTTGGTAATCTAACCATGGAAGTGAGCATCAAATTAATCAGGAGAGGATGAATATCAAGAGGAAGGATCACTGGACCATCTTAGAGTCTGTATGAAAAGTAACAATAATACCTACTTTACAAGATTGCTGTGGATATTAATAGAAGTAACAAGTAAAGTTCTCTTTATTTTGGTCTCATCTTAAACTACCTTCCAAGTTACCTGCATGGAAATAAGACTACTATTATTATTAATACTATTTTCCATTTTGCTGTCCAGATTTTGTGGACTATTTTTTAAATTTGTGATGATTGCCTTCAGCAATCTGACTTGTGAAATTCTGTTCATCTTTAAGCCTATCTTGAATGTTACTATTTTTCATAAACTTTCCTTGACCCTAATGTCCCTTACTCAGAGTCATCTCCCTTTTATGATTTCCTGTAACACCTTTTATAAATTTATGATGGTATATGTCAATCTGCCTTAATTTTTTCCATTGTTACTTAGATTATATCCTCCCAAAAGGGTTATGTCTTAATCTTTTTTCCCCTGTATTGTTATACCATTATTTATAACACGTACTAAGACAAAAGTTGTTGACTAATGAATTAGATTTTAAAAATTGTAATAGTTAAATAAATTTGTAGAGACAGTTGTCAGAATTTTTTTTTAAAAGATTTATTTATTTATGCACACAGAACTAGGGTACAGGCCAGAGGTGCAGGGGTGGTGAGAGGCTTCACCAGAGACAGAGTGGGGAGCAGAACAGGCAGATCTAAGAGGTACACTGCTGAGGGAAGCAGCAGGTGAGACAGGAGAGGTCTGCTGTGCCATGTGGATCACCTCCGGGATCAGGGATCAAATTTACACTGAAGTAGCTATGGCTAGCTTGCAGTACTGCGTCTTAACCTGTTGCACCACCATAGAGGGCCCAGATGTCAGTATTTTTAAATGGCTGTTGTTGTTTTATATGTTGTAATAACCAATATTTCTAGCACTATAGTAAATGAAATATCCCACATTAGTTAATTTTCCAATGAATTATAAATATCCCTTTATATCCAAAGTGGGGCCTCCCTGGTGACACAAGAGGTTAAACTCATCACTATGAAGCTATCCAAAGCCATTGCAGCAAGAGTTTGATCCCCCACCACATGGCACAGCAGGCCTCTCATGTCCTACCACTGTCTCCCTCAGCAGGGTATTTTGGTCAACCTGCCTGTTCTGTCCTCCATTCTGTCTCTGGTGAATCCTGTCACCACCCTGTACCTCTAGTTCTTGTATGCACAAATAAATCAATCTTAAAATATGCCAAAATGATTTTATTTTAACCATTATGCCCTCATCTTTTATTTACCTAACAAATGAAAAAGCTGATAATGCCACATATTAGAGATTTGGGATGAAACTTTTTCTAATATCTTTTTGGTAGCTTTCTATTTTACATTAGAATATTAAAATTGATTAAACACTTTATTATTAACTCAAGCATAATATTTTGAACATCAGATAAAGAGCTATAACACATTCATATACACAATGGAAACTGTTCAACTATGAGAGACTATTTGCCTTTCTCACAAATTGTATTACTTTATAGAGTTCTAAAGCTACATTTTAATTTCCTTCCTTTTTTTCACTTTTGTGCTATAGGTAATCTTTCTAGTCTCCTTGTTATTTGCTTCTTCTAAACTGTAGTGTGCTGCACTAAACTTAGTCCCACTGTAGTGGGAAATCAGGTAGCCAACTTTCCTAGTGCTCTGCATAAAATAAGAATTTATGAACAGAGGAAAGTTATAAGCAGAGAGGACTGTATCTGAGATAAGATTTGAAATGTTGTGATACTTGAAATGAGTTTAAAATTATTTTTTTCTTTTCATGATATGGATTTTTTTTCATCTACATTCTAGAGAGTTGCAATTGCCTCATACTTATTGCCTATGTCATATGCAAGGTGTCCAGATAAAGTCAATGCTTAAAATATACATCATTCAACTTTTTAGAAATTTAGTTTGTGCTACTGTCTGCTCAAGACAGGTGCTAAATGTCATTATGCATTTGTGGATCTACTTTGTATGGAAAAAAATGCAAAGATGCCTCATAAAGGAACAAATCAGTGTCTGGATATGAGTTACTAAACATATGTTACATAAAATGCACTTTGATTGTGAAGTCAGGCTCTCTTTTTTTTTTTTAAACAAAAGGGGGTTATTCCATGTATCTATACACTGTTATCTTCAAAGTTTAAAAAAAGAATTTTTATAATTCCTCTTCAGATTCCTTTGATTCAGTAGCGCTGGCATCCTGCAAACCATTTAGGTTTCCAGTTCTGTGTTTAGTCTTGTGAATGTTTATTTAGACTATAAAAAACTGCAGTGGTCTAATTTGACTATATTAAGTTATTTTATAGTATATGTCTTTTGGCAAGCATTCAGCAATATAGATCTGTCCATCAGGATATTTTTCAGTTAACTTAAAATTTTTTTTGTTTGTTTTTCTAGGTTAAAAAATGGCCATACTTTAGTAGCTAATCAACTTAATACTTTGCTTATGAAAATTTTACCATCATTATTTTTTTCATTTTGGATTGAGAAAATGAACCCAGTTATAGAAGAAAGTATGGGATTTTGGAAAAAAGTACCCGTTAAACAGTGGAACATCTACTAACTAATTTGCAAGAAGTTTTAAAGAAATAAATTGTTATGCTTCGATTTTGGTATGGTATTGACTCTCTAGCACATAGGTAGCCCTCCAAAAATATCAAACAGTTTTCTAAATTATGGAAATTTTGTGGAAGACGGTGACCTGGATTTTGAGCCTCATCATGGCTTCATCGGAATTTCATAGTGACCACAGGCTTTCATACAGTTCTCAAGGTAGGACTCGTGCTTTTGACACTGACAAAATATTGCTGTTAACATGACAAGAAAATATTGTGAGTATTTAGTTTGGGTAGAGTCTTGCTATATGTAGTAATAGCAGTAGAGATGTTTGCTGTCAGGTCAGTTTCCTAACTGCTAACAGCCCTTAGAATCTGTTTACCTTGTCTTACTAGTATTTAATAACCAGTAGGTTTTAGAGTTGATTGTTCTTTCTCAGAAGATGATAAATACAGGCATCTTCTTCTGGATCCTAAATTTTAAGAGACTTATTAATTTTTATTGTTTACAGGTAGGCTCATTTCAGAAGGAATCTAAAGTTTTATATTATAAAAGAAGAAATCAAATTCTGAGACAAGACTATTCTATTATAGAACCTTAGAAAAAAATGCTTTTCCAGGCTTAGGAATTTGTTTTAAGGTCAGAACCTGGGTAAAAGCATAAACCTTGTAAAACGGTACTTTTCCAGTTCTAACTCACAAGTATCCGTAATTTTCATTCACAGTATTCTTAGACCTAAATTTCATATCATAGAAGATCATAGAAAATACCTTAACAGGGGTCCCCGAATGTCACTTTGTTTTTCATGGACCAGTTCAGTTGTTATAGAATGACTGATAGGCATATACTTTTGGTTCCTCTCCCATGAATGTACAGAAAAATAATATTTTTTGGTCTGATAAGCCAGATTTTGGAGACTATTATATATTGATGTACATGCATATATATCCCTATGTACAAAATATGGTTCTCAAAGTGGATCAACAAAGTCAAAACATTTAGTATGGACTTTTATTTATAAGAAATGAAATCAATACTATCAATTTTTTCCACTTTACTATGGTTTCATGGGAGTTTTATTTGTGGGTAAACTCCATTTATAGATAGTGAGGTATTTGATTTTCTTTAGTGCCACACCTTGTTAAAGGAAGGTATGTTTAAGAGGGCAAATTGGTAATATTTAATAAACCTAAATGAGGAAAATATAATCTTCTATTTTTTTTGCCAATGTGATGATTTTTAACTGCTTTTTTGAGATATAATACATACACCTTATGATTCATTCATTTAAAGAGTACAGTCCAGATTTTTTAGCATATTCACAGAGTTGTACAACTCTCACACAAATTAATTTTAAAGCATTTTATGATGCAAAAAAAAATCCTGTACCCATTATCAGTTACCCCAGGTTCACTGAAAACCCCTTTAATCCCAGCCCTAGGCAACCGTAATCTGCATCTCTGGAGATTTGCCTATTCTGGGTAGTTCATGTAAATGTTATCATATACTTTGTTATCGTGATATCTCCTGTCACTTAGAGTAATGGCCTCATGTTAGATACTGAACTTTGATTTTGAAGATAATTTATGAAGATATACTCACATTCTACAATGTATCAGTATTGCTTTTCTTCTTATTGTAGAATAATATCCCCCTTTGTCAGAATACCACATTTTACTTATTTGATTATCAGTTGATGGATGTTTAGATTATTTCCTTCTTTTTGCTATTTTGAATAATGTCTCTGTGAACACTTTCATGTGGTTCTGTTTCTTCATTTCTCCTGGGTATTTAACTAAGAGTGTAATTGCTGGGTTAGATGCCAGTTCCATGTTTAACCTTTTGATAAACTGCCAGACTTTTTCCCAAGGTGACTGGAGTGTTTTATATTCCAACTGATGATTAAAAAAATTATTTATAAGGCTGTAGATGTTTTGTGTAAACTCTTGGGAACCTTTCATGAACAGATTTATATCTATTAAGCTATTTTTTAAAATATGTGTATTTTAAGTATTTTATTTCAAAAAAATATTGTTTTCTTGTAGAATTTAGTTATTAGAAACCATATTTTAATTTAAAAAGTAAGCGTTTCAAATAATTATAACATATTTTGAGGAATGTATCAATTAGGACTTGATTCATATTTAGATTAGAAACTTTTACTCTTTGATTTTATTTAATATAACTTTTTTGTTAATACCTCACTATAATAGTGCATAGTTTTAATTGATATCATTGTCATTTACACTGCTACTTCTTTGTTCTGTTCAATTTTCTTTTCTTCCATGTGTTTTTTCTGGATTCTCTGCCTTGTGATTACAAAGAGGAATTCCTAACTTATCTAGAACACTACCAGCTAACTATTCCAATAAGGGTTGATCAAAATGGAGCTTTTCTCAGCTTTACTGTGAAAAATGATAAACACTCCAGGAGAAGACGGAGTATGGACCCTATTGACCCACAGCAGGCAGTATCTAAATTATTTTTTAAACTTTCAGCCTATGGCAAGCACTTTCACCTAAACTTGACTCTCAACACAGACTTTGTGTCCAAACATTTTACAGTTGAATATTGGGGGAAAGATGGACCCCAGTGGAAACATGATTTTTTAGACAACTGTCATTACACAGGATACTTGCAAGATCAACGTAGTACAACTAAAGTGGCTTTAAGCAACTGTGTTGGGTTGGTAAGTAGATATTATAATTTTAAATTTCTGATGGAGAAGTAAATTCATAATGTAAAGTCTTTCCACAGATGAAAAAACTATGTATATATAAATTCGTGTTTTAAGTAGGGGAGGTATCATTTTTTATTTCTGCTCTGTTTGCATTTGGTAGTCTTTTTGATAATATTTGATTAATTTTTCAAAATAAGAACAACTTGTAAAGCCCTGTATTTTTAGTAGAAGAATGACTGAAACTTAAGGTTTCTTTTATATTTTCTGTTCAAAATATCTTTATGCATACATAAAATTCATTGGTGGGAGTTTAAGTGTATGTATATCATATGTGTCTATATTGGTTGGAAACAATGACACAATTGTCTTTAAGTTTCTTTTTATAATATCTTTATTAGTTAAAATTATGTACAACCTACTTATGATTGTACATTTTTAAAGCATAATCTTTTATACCAATATCTCTTTTAAAATGATTTTTCAGTAGTCATTTGGATATTGATAATAAATCTTACACTTCTGAGAATATGGATTAAAGAGTATAGGTAGGTAGGCATTTGCATCCATTCTAGTCTAATGGTAAGTATATAGGTCAAGCCTGCATATATTAATGGTTGTGCAACAAAGCATATTCCTACATTTTCTCTACTGTTTGTACCTTATTCAGGTTTTATTTGTGCAAAAGAGTACAAACATTTTGATGGCCAACTCATTTTCTTCATTTTGTCACATGTATGTCCTTATTTATACTTCAATATAAAAAAGCCACATAATTAGAATCAGGTTTAAATAAATACTAAATTTAAAAATAATAGCAAGAACTATGCAATAGAGGAAGTTTTCCTTATTGGTGTATATAAGAATTTGTTCAGAAAAGTTGCATTATCTGTAACTTTTTATAAGTCAAAATGATGACTTGTATTTTAAGACTTGAGTTTAGTCCCTATAAGTAGGCACATTGCAAATATTTAATACCACTGTCTTTATCTGTAAACAGTTAGGTTTTATAGACAAAACAGATTTATCTTTTTGAATAAAAGATAAGTTATCCAAAATAAATGTTTTAATATTTCTCATATGTTAAAATGACACTTACTGTTAAATATGATTAAAAAAAAATACTCTTTTTGATCATTGACCAAGCCATTTAAATTTGGTATTTACCTTAATTATGCCATTGATAGTTTCAACAGGTTGGTGAAATGAAAAATTTGAAGCTTAGAAAGAGTCTGATTATGTTGTGAGATTTGAGGAAAGAGAGATCGGATATGAGAATGAGTTAGAACATGTGGGAGATAATAAAATGAAGGCCTATCTGTAGAATATGGCACTGGGAATGGAAAAGATAGAATTAATTTGAATCACATTTTGGTGAGAAAATTTAAAGTATTTATCTTTTCTTTCCTGGAATCTAGTAGAACAGATAGTCCATATTTAATGGTATTAAAAATAAGATTTATTGAGTTTGGGTGAGATTTCTGTTTTAGAAGAGGATGTTTATAAAATACTAGTTGAGAAAGGAAATGCCAGAGGATTGCTGTATTGGCATGGAGGATGAACTTAGTGGTTTTGGTTATAGTAAATGTGAGAAGTGAAGAAGTAAAGGCTGATGAGCAAATGCACATCTCTCATCTTAGGATTTCTTTAAGTTATTTCCACATCTTCCTTTTTCTGAGTTTACATCCTGTTTTGTTAGAGAACATCTTAATTACCTCAGTAAAGATGCCCGAGACCCTCCCTGGTGGTGCAGTGGGTTAAAGCACAGCACTAAGTAGTTACTTCAGCATGAGTTCAATCCCCGCCTGGGAGGTGACCCACATGGAGTGGCAGACCGCTCCTGACCCGCCCGCTGCTCCCCTCAGCAGTGTACTTCGTGGATCTGCCTGTTCTGCTTCCCTCTCTGTCTCTGGTGAATCCTCTCGCCACCCCTGTACCTTTGGCCTGTATCCAAGTTCTGTATGTAAAAATAAACAAATCTTTTTAAAAAAGTCCCAAGAAGTAAAATTTCTGAGTCCTTGCCTGTTTGAAAGGTTTATGTTGCCTTCATATTTGATTAGTTATATGTGGAGGTATATGTGTGTATGGAGTTCTAGGTTAAAACATAATTTTTCTTCAAAACCATGATTAGTAGAATTGGTTTACTTTGGATGGCAGATAGAAATCTGTTCCTTGCTTTTCTTAAATTATTCTCCTCAGTGGAAGTATATGATCTTTTCTTTTTCCTTTCAGTTTCAAGAACTTTATGATGATATGACAGACTGTAGGTCTTCTTTTCTTGCTCCTACTTGATATATGATGGGTGCTTTCAACTAAAAAATTGCTCATTAGCTTAGAGAAATAAAATAATTGCTTAAAATTTTTTTTCTCCATGTAGCCTTCACCATTTCTGTAAATGATCCTCTGTTTCTCTTATCTTTCTCTTTTTTTTTGTTCTAAATTCTGAGATTATTCTGGTTTTATCTTCTTCTTCAATCAATTTAAATATTAGGGTACTCATATTTCTTATTTTCAAAAGCTCTTTTATTATTCCCTTTGTAACATTCTGTTCTTATTTTATGACAATCTTTCTGAATATAATCTTGAATATACAAAATATCTCTGAATATATTAAAGCCCCCTGACTATACTAAAGACTGTACCTAGTTAAAAAAGATCTGTGACACCATTAGACTTTATGGCTCTACTATGTCCACAGTTGCCTTTGTTCTTTTCTATTATTTATTCATCCATTTACCAAATACTGACAAATACCTGTCATATTACAGGCATTGTTCTGTTGTAAGTGCTAAGAGTGTTAACAGTGAACAACACAAAAATTCCTATCTTATACCTTGGATTCATGTGGAGGAGATTCACAATAAGATAAATATACAAAAACTATACTGTCTGGGATACTGAGATGTGTGAAGACTGAGAAAAAATACTGAGCAAAGACTTTAAGGGAAATAGGAAGGGAATGTTAACCCCTGAGGTATAAAATTTCTAGGTGGAAATCTTCCAGTGTAAGGATCTAAATTAAAAGTATCAAGCAACAGCAAAAAGATTACTATCACTAGAACTAAATGAAAAGTGGGGGAGTAATGGAAGTAACAGAGGGCCAGATGTTAGGTTTTAGAAGACTTAGGGTAATAATCAATAATAACTCCAAATTGAAGGCTGTGAATAGAAGAATACAGCAACCATCAATTGATATGAGAAAAACTCAGACATTAACTGAGCTAGAAAAGATATAGGAATAGGTTGGGGGTGATGATATATACTATAAAATCAGTTGGGGATATTAAACTTGAAATGTTGTATAGGCCAATGGATATGCAAGTCTGGAGTATGAGAAATAGATATGAATTATGGAGTTATAAACTTGGGAGTGATCAACATATTTAGATGACATTTAAAGCCAGGAATTCATGTGGAATTGTTTAGGGAAGAGCATAGATAAAATAAAGATCTAAGTACTGAATCTTTTGATGTTGCAATGGGTAAATGAAGTTAGAAGGATGTGGAGGAGAAAGGAAATGACAGAAAAATAAGAAAGTTGAAGAAAAATTGGGCAAATATTCTAGAAACAAGAGAAGGAAGTTTTTACAAAGAAAACTTGTTGAGTCAAAATAAGAGTGGGGCTGGAAAGTGACTATTGATTTTTATCAATAAGCAGGTTATGAGTGACCTTGAGAGAAAGGCAGTTTTAGTGAAGTCATGGTGAGCTTTGGAAGAGATGCAAAATTCCAATGGAGTAGGTTTACGAAGGAATATGAGAAGTGAAATGAGTATATACTTATTTTAAGAACTTTTGGTGAAGCAAGGTAATAATCAGTTGTTGCTGAAAGAAGTAAAGATGAGAAGAGGTTTTTATTTTGTTTTGCTAAATATGGAAATGATTATGTAGAGTGAAGAAATGATTATGTAGAGCCAAGAATTCTTTTGTTTTTAAAGATTTATTTATTTATACATACTGAATTGAGGTACAGGCCAGAGGTGTGGGGTGGGGGTGGTTCGGAGGATTCACCAGAGACAGAGTGAGGAACAGAACAAGCAGATCAACTGAAGTACACTGCTAAGAGGAGCAGCAGGGTGAGACAGGAGAGGTCTGCTGAGTCATGTGGGTCACCTCCTTAGCTGGGGGTCAAACTCATGCTGCAGTGGCTGTGGATAGCTTCATAGTGCTGAGACTTAACCCCTTGTGCTGCTAGGGAGGCCCCAGAAACATTACTGATGTCCTGGCTAAATGAAAAGGGATGCAATCATCAGCTTAAGTGCAATAATTGTCCTTACCTGGGAGGATAGATGGTTTTATGTAAATGGACTTAAAATGCAGATAGGTGAGTATTTGTGGCTGTCAGAGGTTATGTGATGTTTATTGGAATGGAAGATGGAAAAACAAAGTGTTAAGGGATTAAAAACAGAAGAGAAAGCATGAAATATTTATCTAGGAAAGTGTGATGCTAAGTGAATTTCAGAGAATGTAATTGCCATACCCTGTGAAGAGCACATTTAATTTAGTCAGGGTTGATTTAGTCAGATTAATTCAATGAAGTGAGAAACAGAAGAGAATTGAAGATGGAATTGAATCTGTGTTAGGAAGAAAGTAAGTTTCTGATGAAAACATAGCATCTAGTAGGTCTCGGCATGAAAGGATCGATTGTTGGAGTTGGATACTAGAGGGCATAGCACTGCAAAAATAGAAGAATGGGATATTTGAAATTGAGTTTCTGCAGGTTTGCAAATATTGATAATGCTGAAGTCTGGGGTTTGGCTGACTTTTTTTTTTTTTTTAAAGATTTATTTATTCTTACAGAATTGGGGTACAGGCCAGGGATGCGGAGGGTGAGAGGATTCACCAGAGACAGAGTGGGGTGCAGAACAGGCAGATCGATGAAGTACACTTCTGAGGGGAGCAGCGGGCGGGTCAGGAGAGATCTGCCTGGCCATGTGGATCTCCTCCGGGGCAGGCGGGGATCAAACTCATGTGGAACAAGCTTAAGCTTCTTTTGTGCTGTGCTTTAACCAGCTCTGCCACCGGGAGGGCCCTGGCTGACTTTTTAAGGTAAAGTGAAAGAAAAGATATTTGATGGAGATAAAGTCGAGTTGAGAGGTCATAGATTGAAGAGCCCATTTTGTGCTAATATTTCTTAACCTGGGGTTCAAACCCACCATGTGATAAGTACTCATAACATATTGGTTGAGTGGATAAATAAAGCCAGAACAATTCCTCAGAGGACTCAGGAGTTAGAATATGATGGTTGAGTTCAGGCTCCAATGTTATATGACTTTTCTCAGTCTCAGTTTTTCCTCTACAAAATGGGACTGAGAATATTTCAGAATACTTCAAAAGGGTCAAGATTAAGTAAGATTATGTGTGTAACATCTTATAGAGCACATAACAGAGTTTTCTGATTGCCCTTCCAGAGTCTTTCTGGTCTTGAAATTAAATATTTTGTTTACTTACCAGACTTCTGACTTTCCCCCTACAACCTGAGTTTCTTGTGTGGAACTTTCTTCATCTTTCCACCGATGATCCAGCTTGCTGTGACTTTAGTACTCTACTCTTACCAGCAGTGCTCTAGACCCACTTAGTACACTTCCTTATTGTCAAAACTTCAAGTTAATGCCTCTCTTGTCTAGGGACTTGCTTTAATTTTCTGTCACAATCTTTCTGGAAACATTATTCATGTTCAGGTATTAGAGTTTGTTCAATGGCCTATTATGTTATAAATATCAGTATTTGCATGTAATTTGGGGACTATTATCCTTAAAGTAAAGCAAACCATAATATGAAATGAGTAAGGACTGCTCATGTTTAATTTGTTTTTTGTTCCTTACCTCATTTTGTGTAGGTGGCTGCCAACTTCATCTATAAGTTAGAGTCGCTCTAATTATGTCTTGTCTTTCTTTCCAAGCATGTAGTACTTAACAGGAATTTTCCTAAACAAAACTATAGAGGCTTAGATTCAGAAGGACCTTAGAGATCATCTGTGCCAGAAATTTTCAACTTTTTTTCTTTTTTAAGTGGTACTGCACTTTTCTCAAATGAAATGTTATGTGGACATTTAATATATAGATTAATAAAAGCACAGTTGAGTCCCAAGCCCAGGAATCCAAGTCCTGTAGGTCTCCCTTTGTTGTCAGAAGTAATCCTCTGAGGGCACTTCTATGGAACCCTTAGGGCTCCCCAGAGTGCTATTTTAAAAGCCACTAATTTACACCAACCCCTTTCATTTTTGCAGCTGAGGAAATACACCCAAGAGAGTTTGTTTTACCCAGTGTTATAGGGTAAATTACTTGGACTAAGAGCAGTCCTAACTTGTGCCATACTTAGGAAAACTCTATTACATAAGAACAGAAGTTCTTATTTTTGATGGAGATAACTTTTACTATCTCACTTGTTTTAGTCCACGAACATTTACGACATGTGGCCCTCTCCTATGGCTGTAACTGATGCAGAGAAATATGAAGTGTAACCTTTATCTTTACAAAACATGTAGTATATTTGGGAAGATAAAACATGCTGTTGACAAGTTATATGAAATTTTAATATAGTTTCAAGACTTGAGATGCTTGAGATGTTCCAAAGCAGTGTGAAATTAATTAAAAATAGTTGATACCAATAATAATCTCAGTTGGAGGGTTAGAAAAAGTTTTAAAGAGGAGCAATGACTGAATTGCATAGGATGTGGCTTAAAGTAGAAGTTAGACAATACTAGAATAGGGACAGAGCTTTGTTTGAATTCTGTCTTCTTCATATAACTATATAATATTCATATAACTCTATGTAATATTCAGCATGTTCTTTTTTTTTTTTTTAAAGATTTATTTATTTGTGCATACAGAACTGGGGTACAGGCCAGAGGCTCAGGGGTGGTGAGAGGCTTCACCAGAGACAGAGTGGGGAACAGAACAGGCAGATTGACGAAGTACAATGCTGAGGGGAGCAGCGGGCGGGTCAGGAGAGGTCTGCCAAGCCATGTGGATCTTCTCCGGGGCAGGCGGGAATCGAACTCATGTGGAAGTGGCTTAAACTCTTAGTGCTGTGCTTTAACCCACTGCGCCACCAGGGAGGGCCTATTCAGCATGTTCTTAACTTCTATGCCTGTTACTTCATCTACTGATTGGGCATGGGTGTATGTGATTATATTAATGACGGCTATACTTATTAGTGTAACAAAGCTTTAAAGTGTCAATCGTTTATCACAATTGAAGTTAACTTCTACACTAATCAGATTTCCATGAGGTCACCCAGGTAACCAGGTTCTTCTTCTTTGGTGTCCATCTCCCTTGAGTTTTTGGGGTTTTCTACATTCAGTAGTACTGGGAACAGAGAGTAAAGGATTCCACTAGGGATGCTTTTTAAGGACTGGGTTTTACAGACCCAGTAGTATGTAACAATTTGTTCATTTTCTATTGGCCAAAACATGGTTACAACGTATATGTGAACACAGAGCATATAGTTCAGTTGTGTGAATAGTTTGGAAATAAAGTTAGTCCTAGCAAACATATAGTGAGGTCTTTGCTCTCTTTGTGAAAATATTAGAGGAATAATGATGTTTCATGTTTTGATCAATAAATGGCAGGCAGAGGTATTTCCACATCATTTTAAAGAGCAGAAAAATATGTTGTTATGCTCAGTAAAGATAAATCACTAAATTACTGTTTACACGTTTTAACCTTTTTTGAGAGGTATTATTTTATTTTTGATATTTTTGTATTATAATACTTTAAATGATTCTTCTTGGCAAATTCTTTGTTTCTTTTTCTTTTAGCATGGTGTTATTGCTACAGAAGATGAAGAATATTTTATTGAACCATTAAAAAACACAACAGAGGATTCTAAACATTTTAGTTATGAAAATGGCCATCCTCATGTTATTTACAAAAAGTCTACCCTTCGGCAGCGACATCTGTATGACCACTCTCATTGCGGGGTTTCTGGTGAGTGTGTGAGTGACATTTAGAAGGCATATTGTATTGGATTGAGACTCTTCCCCACTTTTTTGGTACTTGGTAATGCTAATAATAAAAGTAAAAAAGGAACATGAGAGAATAGAGTGATAATGCCCACAATCCTCTTGAAAATGTCACTACTTGGTAGTACTAAATCAACTTTGGAAGTTCTTTGAGAAGCCCTTAAAATATAATACTGTGTAAAACTTGACTTTTTTTCTTTAAAGAGGAAAATAAATGTCACCTTTAAAAAAAAGTACAGATAATAGTTATAGCTTTCATGCAAAGCTGTTCCATTGTACTCTGTGCTGTTTGGTGAGTGTGATGTTTCTGTGCTAGTGTCAGGAATTTAAAAACAGGCCAAACACCCTCCCTGGTGGCGCAGCGGGTTAAAGCACTGCACAAAGAAGCTTAAGCCACTTCTGCACGAGTTAGATCCCCGCCTGCTCCGAGGAGATCCACATGGCAAGGCAGACCTCTCCTGACCCACCCACTGCTCCCCTCAGCAGTGTACTTCATCGATCTGCCTGTTCTGTGCCCCACTCTGTCTCTGGTGAATCCTCTGACCCTCCGCATCTCTGCCTGTACCCCAGTTCTGTACGAATAAATAAATAAATCTTAAAAAAAAAAAAAAAACAGTCCAAACAATGGGGTTGGATGCAGGGTCACTAACCCAAAAAGAGTGCTGAATTCTTACTACACATTCTTAAAAATGCAGAGTAATGCTGAATTTAATGGTTTAGATTAAATTGAGCTCACAAAGCCCCTAAGATGCGTCACAGAACTTACAGAGCTCATGGTTGGATTAATCCATACATGAGCTCACCCTGCCACATCAAGATGATCCTTACTGAAAAAGAGCAGATTGTTCCTAAACCAGAAGAAGTTGCACAGAAGAAAATAAAAATTGCAGAAGAAATTGAAGAAACAAACTTATGGCCAGGAACCAAGTTCAACTTAAAAAAACAAACAAAAATAAATAAAAACTTGCATAAACTGGAAGAGTATTAAGGTGATATTCAAAATTAGTGATAGTTAGTGTGCTATGTAAATAGAGTAGGGACAATACACTCAGACTCTAGTGATCAAGGAAGACTTCCTGGAGGAACTAACTTCTCAGCTGAAGTCTGAGGGATAAAAGAAGGTAGTAGGGTATAAGTGGAGAGTGCAGAAGGTGAAGTGTTATACATAGAATATACAACAGTTGTAAAGGTTCTGAATCAAACAAGAGCATATCACATTCCAGAACTTCATGTAATTGGATAGTTCATGTAATTGGATATTAGAATGTACGAAGTTAGGGATGTAGAATGTAGAAAGTTAGAATCATTATAGTGGGGGGAGTTATTATGAGAGACAAATAAAGCTAAAGACATATAAAGGGTGTGTAAAACATGTTAAAGAGTTGGTTTATCCTAAGGTGCTAGAAACCTATTAAGAGATTTTAAGCAGTAGTAGTATATTTGTATTTTAGAAGGAGTACCCACCCTACAGCAGTATGGAGCCTGAATTAGATAGAGAAGGGCAAGACTAGAGGTAGGGAATTAGGAGGCCACTTACCCTCAATTTCTCTAAGTTTTCTATGAGATTAAAAAATTTAGAGAATTTGTGGAATAGCACAATGGAAAGAATAGGAACTTTGGAGAAATTACTCAACCTAAGTACGTCTCTTTACATACATCGGTCATTCAGCAAAATTGTAGCTATCATTTTTATTGAAATAACTTTATCACATGTAAAGGCTATTTAAAAATAAAGATTAGATTTGTCCTATGTAGTCCCAATAGCTGGAACCTCAGGAACAGTATTCGAGAAGTACCTTCCATTTTAATACAACAAAAGGTTTACCAACAACTAATTTTTCTAAAGATTGAATGGGCTCAGCAAGTAGATTAGTAAACAAGGAATACTTTGCCTTGTGAAGTAGGGACTGCATCATCCTTTGGTTTACTCTCCCTATCCAATAAGACTTTTTCTTCTGCATGAGTGTAAGTTTTCTCTGGAATTCTTTCTTCATGGACTGCTGTCATTCTACTTACTCCCTTCTTGAATAATGGCTGAGGCTTTTCATTATGAAAAGTCCTCATTGGTCAAGATTGGCTGGGATTAGAAAAACACCATTTAAAATGGGTCCACTTAAGAATGAGATAATATTTCATAGTTAATAATGAAAAGGTTTGGCTGGTCTTTAGATTGAGTAATGGAGCTAAATATTATGGAAACAGTTTATCTTACGTTTAACAGAATTTAGCCTATGTCCAACTTCTTTTAAAAATGATGTTACTTATGGATAAAAATTTCCAGTCATTTTTATCATAACACGACACCTCTCATTTTCTGATCATAATAATCACTTTCTGCAAAAAAAAGTGAAGATTTCATCATATTCTGAGGAATATTTCTTAAACTCTTTGATATTCAGATTACTTAAAAAATACTTATCAGAAAAACAAATACCAGATGATTTCACTCAGATGTGGAATCTAAAGAAACAAAACAAAGGAACAGACAAATGTAAACAAAAAAAGAAAGAAAGAAAACAACCTAGAAGTCTGAATGTAGAATAAAGGTTACCAGTGGGGGAATGTGGGGGTAGGAAACAAAGATGGAAAGGGCCCAGTGGACTATGGTGCTTTGATGGTGAATGTGATAACATACATCTGAAACCTATGCCTATATCCCTAAATCATATACAGTATATGTTACCTAAATCATGTACAATATATGTTACCTCAATAAAAAATATAATTAAGAAAAAAGAAAAGAGAAAAAAGGAAAGTTGGTAATAACACAAGAGTTACATGGAATTTAGAGATTAACACATGAGAAGCAAGTAAATGGCAAAGGAGTCTGAATGGGAATGGCCAAATAGAGAGGTAAACCAACTGGTTATATGACATGATATCCTATGATGGAAGTATGTGTAAAGATTCAAAAAGCATCAGTTATGATAAGTGCTGCTGCAGTGGAAAAAAAATGGAGATTGCAAAATCACAGTGGAGCCAGTGATATGGGTGTCATTTGTCCTGGAGAAGAGCAGCAGAAGAATATGCAAATTAAAATAACATTATATATTTTTAAATGTCTGATTCAGGCAGACCATTATTTTTCAGAGTTATATGCCAAAGTTCATGCTATGCCATTATACATTTTATGTTTTAGGGGAAAGATTTTCTTCTACAACACTTCCTCTGGCGTATTGAGATCATTTCCTAAATAATCCTGGCTTTTAACCTGCTTCATTCATTAGCCATCTCTACTATCCTTAACACTGGTGCATTTAGTCCTGACCCTCATTATCTCTTGCCTAGTTGACTGTAATGACTCTAATTGGTTTGTCTGTCTCCAAGTTTGTCTTTCTGTCATTAGTCAAGTCTGTCTCCTAAATCTGCAATGTGTTACACACCTTCAAACATTTTACTAACTTCCCAGTAGTGCTTGGAATATAGCAGTAATTCCCTAAGTTCCATGGGAGTGTTATTAGAGGTTATTGAAAATAAAGTGTTCTGTGTTCAGTGGAACTCATGTTTATACCAAAATTCTTTTGAATTTTGTTTTATTACATTTTGATATTAACTTTACATTCTAATTAGATTCAAAATATCAATTCAAAACTTTTATGAAAGGTATATATATTTTTTTAAAGATTTATTTATTCATACAGAACTGGGGTATAGGCCAGAGATGCAGAGGGTGAGAGGATTCACCAGAGACAGAGTGGGGAGCAGAAAAGGCAGATCGACGAAGTACACTGCTGAGGGGACCAGCGGGTGGGTCAGGAGAGGTCTGCCTTGCCATGTGGAGCTTCTCCAGGGCAGACGGGAATTGAACTCATGCGGAAGTGGCTTAAGCTTCTTAGTGCAGTGCTTTAACCCGCTGTGCCACCAGGGAGGGCCCGAAAGGAATATCTATTTTTAGAAAATACAGGATAAAAAGAAATCATTCTTATATTACCCCCAGAGATAAATGAATGTATAGAGACATAATATTACGTATTTATTACATAAATAGTTGCTTAACACATATGTTTAAGGTTTTGTAGTTACTAGGTATGCAGCAATAAATAAAGTAGGAAAAGTTCCCTTAGAGTATATGTTCTGGCAAGGAGAGGCAGTTAACTAAATAAGCAGTCAAACAAACAAATAAATTCATTGATCAGCTATCAAAAAGTACTAATTACAGTGGCAAAAATAATAAGTTACATCAGCAGGATAATCTTCATTGGCTGTATATATTCAAAAAATTTTGGGATTGATCAGAAAGTTAAAATCTTATTTCATATGGCAAAGAAATTCTTTCACTAGGTTTCAGGGAAAAGTTTTTGCTTTTTTGTGGAAAAATGTTTTCTGTAGTGGTTTATATTCTATTCAAAATTAAATTGAAAAAAACATGTATAATGAGTATCATTTGAAAATACTTTTGAAAGAAAACAAAGTCATTTGAATAAAATGAAACATGTCAATTATGTAGTCTATTTTATAATAAAAAGTTATTAGTCAAATATCATTAATCTTAACATTAAGCAGTCAATTAGCAGTTATAGAAGTTAAATGCTGTTTCGTAATGATTCTGGGTTAGCTTAATTTTACAAATGAAACTGAAGATGTTATCCCTTTCACTTTTATTCATTTAATATGTGTGTGTGTGAAATGTCTTTGAGGTACATTAATAAATGAAAAGATAAAGCCCTATTACTCAAAGAATTTGTAGTCTGATTGACAATCAAGCAAACTAACAATAAAACAAATCTAATTGAAAATTATGGAAACAATCAGGATAATAGCAATAACTACCTTATCCTGAATGCTATGACATGAGAAGCATGATGGCAAAGTATTTTTGTATCCAGTCATCCCTAGTTATTTTCACAATATTTTAAGTACACATAAGGAGGAACACAATGAATTACAGAAATGAAAATCATCAAAATAATGATAATTAAATCCTCCAGTTAGACATGGAAACTGTCTAGTCAGAGGAAAGGAAGACTTGGCATGATTTGAATAAAAGAGTGATTTTATGATTACAAAAGATTGAGCAAAAGAAATTGGAATTATATTAATACAGAAATGATTTTGGATGTTGTATATTAATCTTATCACAAACCCAATGCTGTAGCAACAGACTTATTATATTAGAGTTTCTGTGGGCCAGCTTCTGTGCATGGATGTGTTACCTTCTTAACTTCAGTCAGGACTGAGTTTTCATTTGGAGCCTTGACTGGGGAAACATTCACTACCCGACTCCCATGGTTGTTGGTGGCATCCATTTCCTTGTGGTTGCAAGGTGTAAGTCTTTTTGAGTAGTTGTCTACCAGGTACCACATGCAATTCCTTGTCATGAATGATTCACCAGCATGGTTACTCTCTTCTAGGCCAGCAAGGTGAAGACTCTAGTAAGAGAGATACTACATTAGGTGACATAATTATGTGCACATGTACATGTAACCATGTACACCCCACTATCTTTGCTGTATTCTGTTGGCTTGGAGCAAGTCACAGGACCCTTCCATCCCCAAGGGGTGAGAATCACACAAAGGAGTGAACAAGAGGAGGAGCTTAATGAGATTTCCAGTTAAGTGGAGGCTAGAACGATTTCCTGTTCAATGTAAAGATGTGATAGTAAGTTAACGCAGAGGACTTGTACCTGCTCAAGTTACTAAATGAAGATGAGATGTGAACACAAATGTTCACAAATGTCAGAGTACTAAAAGGTGTCCTCTGTACTGAAGGAACAAAAGATAAACTGCAATCCACATTAAAATGTAAAGTGTGCCATGCTAGAATCATGATGTTCTACTTTTCATTGTGGTGCCATTTACTTAGCAGTTTTTAACCTATAGATGTGGAAAAGGAATACGTTGGGTAACCTATCAGTGTAAATAATTGTACATTGCAAAGTAAAGTGAAAAAAAAAAAACACCTCATTTTGGAATTGAGACTTCTATAGCAGTTGACTTGCTTTAATTGAAAGTTTAATAAAAGCATTTTATCTTAAGGTTAATACTCAGAGAACTAATACACACACACACACACTCAGACTCAGAAAAATGTAGGACATTTGGGTAGAGAGGGTCAAGTTAGTAGCATGAATAAACTAGGACTTTGGTAGTGTGTGTGGTGAGGTGTATCATCTATCAAGTTGTGAAGCTGTGCTCTTGAAGTTTATATTGTATTGTAAACCAGTGATAGATCAATACAATTTTATTTAAAAGAAGCCAGATACAAAGTGAAAAGCAGTCAACTGAATTGTACAATAAGAATAAATAAAATAAATTCTCAAATGTATGTAAGAGAGTTTTGCAACATTACTTTTCCTCATAAGAACTGATTTAGGCTGTTTAGAAATTTAATTCTCTAGTAGTTGCTTTTAAAATAACTTTAAAATTTTTGTTAAAGTCCATATGTGAAAATATTATGATAGGGAGGAGGCCTAGTGGACTTTGGTGGAGGATTAAAAGTTCATTGGGAATGGTGTGGAATGGTAACATAATGTACAGCTGAAGAGTTGTGAACCAATACATCTAAATCATGTATAGTGTTGTAAACCAGTGTTATCTCAATAAAAAAATAATATAATAAAAATGATAAAATGTAAGTTTTATGATAAAACCACTCACTGGAATCATATGAAATGGTTATTTGAAAATTCTTTTTAATTAGGTAACTCAGATAATTTTGTTTGCAAGAGTAATTGAATGTTATTACTGTTTAATTTTTTCAGATAATGATTATTTTGAAAACTTTTTAAAGTTTAGTTTTCTCACTATTTTATTTCTCCATCCTCTCTCCTTTAAATAATCTTTATGTTAGAGAATTTGTTAGAGATGTCTACATGAAAAATCTACAAGCCTGTTTAAATAGTGAACCCATCTGAACTATTCATTACTTCTATTGTAGACCTACTAAGAAGTGGCAAACCTTGGTGGCTAAATGATACATCTGCTTTTCCTTCTTCACTACCAATTAATGGCACACATAACCACCACAGAGAGAAGAGATCAGTAAGCATTGAGCGGTTTGTGGAGACATTAGTAGTGGCAGACAAAATGATGGTGGGCTACCATGGCCGCAAAGACATTGAACATTACATTTTGAGTGTGATGAATATTGTAAGTTTGATCCCTTTATATAATAATTTTTCTTAATAGTTCATTGTTTTGACAAAGGTCATGGATTCTTACTGTGAAAAAATGATTTTAAGAATTTACTTATCTAAAATGAGAACGAATTGTCTATTAATATTTTTCATAGAAAATAAATTTAAAGGTGACTTTATTGTTCCCTTTTTTTTTTAGATAATTTAACTTTTGAACATGTCATGTTAAATCTTTTTTGAGAGGTTTTTACTTGAAAGATCAGTGTATCCTCTTAATTACTATGTTGTAGCTTATCTTTAGGAGAAAAATTATTTTTAGGTAGACATACCATGAACAGTTTACTGAGGCATCTTTAGGACAGAGTCCAGTGTTTGGTATCAAAAATATCTATTTAATATACACAGTGGTTAAATTAATGAAGAATTGTTTTGCCTTCTTTAAAAAATATCAAACAGTTACCATATGATTTTTGTCTGACTTTGTGTCTTTTCTTATTTTCTGGAGGTCAGGTTGCCAAACTTTACCGTGATTCCAGCCTAGGAAACGTTGTGAATATTATAGTGGCCCGCTTAATCGTTCTCACAGAAGATCAGGTAAGAATGAGTTAGTTTTTAAACCTAAAACTCTTTTAACAGACAGACTATAGAATTATACATGTAAAATAATATACTTGATTGATTGCTGTTCTGCTTAAGAAGTTCTAGTTGAATATGACATTTTAGCTCTAAGCATTTAATATATTAAGCAAATTTTAAATAGTTTGCAGAAATATGTACGATGTCATGTTAAAACTAATATGTATTTTAGTTCTATGTTTCAGTATAAAGATGAGCATTTTCATGGAAGACCTTATAATGTGATTTTGGTTGGTTTTTATGCTGATAAACAGATATTTTCACATTATCATTAAAATTGAAACTGGAAAGAATGTCTTTAATAATACACTAAATTAAATCAGGTCAGATATACAGAGATAAAAATTGGCAAGAGATTTTTCCTAGAAACCACTGATTCTAATTATAGTCCCACTTTAGTCTTCAAAAGTTTTAACAACTGACCTTAGTAATTTGTTTGGAACATTTCTGGTATGCATGTTGTATTGCAGCCAAACTTGGAGATAAACCACCATGCAGACAAGTCTCTCGATAGCTTCTGTAAATGGCAGAAATCCATTCTCTCCCACCAAAGTGATGGAAACACCATTCCAGAAAATGGGATTGCCCACCACGATAATGCTGTTCTTATTACTAGGTATGGCCTGTTACAAGTATTTTTCCTTTGTTGTTGTTTTTTTTTTTAATATTGTAACTATATTTGGTTCTACCTAAAGTCTCATTAAGTAATAAATATAATGAAAGAAAAATGATAATTTATAAGTACCACTGAGAAAGAATATAGTATACTGGTATTATATTTGCATCAAATGAACCAAATAAGAAAAAAAGATTTTGAGTTGACATAGAAATTTAACAATTATCTTTTTCCTTTTACCAAGTTCTTTTCACAAGGTTTAATTGAACACATATATGTATTAACAAAATACATACTAAAAGTAAGATTTAGAAATATTAAAAAATGTATTTTAAAAGTAAAGAGTCATCATTCTTGGTTATAAAATACATTCATTGTCCTTTTATCCAAATAGTTATAAAGGAAGAGACCCCTATTTTCACACTTTACTTAAATAACTGTTTACTTAATTTATTTTAATTGAAAGGTAAACATAAAGAAACAGATTTATTACAATATAGATTACAGAAATTTTCTTTTGGCACAATTATTACTTGAATAACACTATTTTTTTCTAGTTTAACACAACGATGCTCAAATCCATTCAGTTCTTTCTCTTCAAGAATAATTCCTTGCCATAGATATTGTTATTATTTTTTGCGTATTAAAAAAAGAGGGAACCGGTTCAAAATACTTAAGTTGTCAAGATCACTCATCTAATGAATGAGGAGATTCAAGCCCTGTTTTCTTTGGTTACACTGTGCTATGTTAGATTTTTATACTTTAATTACAATTGGTTAGAAGCATGCTTAAATCATTTTATGATAAGTGTATTTTGAATTTTTAATGAGTATTTAAAAAGGAAAGCAAAAATCAGTTATAATAAACAAATAATAAGTAACATGGAAGCCTTATTTTATCTTGGCTAAAAGGACTAGCCTTTGTTGTCTTGATATTTTATCTTAATTTGCTGTTAAGGATTTAACACATGCCTCACCTGTGGTGTGCCCATTGCATACATTAAATTCTGTGGAGAGAGTATAAATTGTATGGGGTCAGAATCTGGAAAACGAGTATGATAATGTGAATCTAGTTTTTAAAAAATTTCTCTGTGTTGTGAAGTAAAAATTTCTTAGTTTATTTTTTTACAGTTACACTTTTGTTAATTGACTTCATCTACCTGGTATTGTAAGTCAGGAAATTTTATTTATGACATGGTTGTGAATAAAAACAACATTGTATGGTTCTGCTTTCATAAGCATTGACATGTTAGTCTGATAAATACTGCAATTCCTCAGAGTCTTGTGGTCTGGAATGATTCCCAAATATATTTAAGGAGTTAAAAATATACTAGGAATTGTGCAAATATAGAAACTTTTGTGTAAAAATATATATGGATATGATTAGTGTCAATGAAATTACTGAAAAAAAAATGTTATGTATGGTTAACAAAGTTATCATGGGTATTTGCATTAGCTTCTGTATTTATTTTTATAAAGCGTACCTCTCCCAAAAGGCAATGCCCAGTGGGCTCCTGATGTTTCACATTTTCATTATTTTATCTGCTATGGATTTCTAATTTCTGCATCAAATGACAGAAGTTATACAAGAGTGCCCAGTTGTATGTATTTGGATAGTAAAATACAGTTAGGCAGTGGGCCACCCTTTGCACTTGGCTACTTTAGATTGTCTGACCATTTACTCTGATTAAGGCCAGATAGTTTTCTGATCCTCTGAAGAACTCTTCTTTGCTACTATGAGCTATTTTGAGTGTATACCTCATATCATTTTTAGATAGTTATGTAATGGAGGTTGGAAATACACCTCTTCTGGGCATATTGAAATTGTTAATAAAGTCTCAATAACTTTTAGCTTATTTTAGTCTGTAATCTTTTTATTTTTAGGGTCAGAGACTGACTTATCTAAATGAGATGACTTATTTCTATTATTTAGTTCTTTATTCTTTTTTTCTGCATGGACATTTATCAGTACTTGCTCTCCCTTATGTATTTTTAATTTGTGAAACTGAACATATGTTTAAATCATACTGCTACCTTTAGAAAAAATAAATATAAGAATTCCATAGATGTTTTGATATTAATGTTGAAAATCGCTTCTTATAACTCACTTATTAATAGGTTCAGAATCCACCATTTAGAGGTAAGATTATGATTTACATGTGCTTGAAATGTAGGCTCACTAGGGAGAATGTATAATGTGTTTATTGAGAATTCCAGAGAAAAATTGATGAATATGTTTATCTCCAGTAGGCCAAATTTTGTCCTAGGGATTTAAATGTTTTAAGCAGAAAACCATTTGGAATTGTAGTTACTTAGTTTAAATAGTTCCTTTTGAAAAAATGTCTAACTGAAAATATCTAGCCTTAGCAAATGATATTTCATTGATTTGAATTTAAAACAAACTGCCCTCTACAAAGCTGTCAGATCATTATGACTAAACAGAAAATAGAGAAAATTTATGAATTTAAAATTTTGTTGTTTTATCTGCTATTAATGTGACATTGGATTAACACCAAAGATCGTGTTAAAATTGTATATATTTTAAAACTTATATTCATATGTGCATATATTTATGATATGCTTTCTGATGTTAACAAATATTGTTCTGCTAAGATTTAGTCATAGTATTTACTTAGAAACAAATGTATATATGTTTATATACATATGTATATATATGTAGCCAGGTTATATACAATCTAGTTTTTTTCTAATGTTTTGTAAAGAGTAGTAGACATACAAAATTTTATATATTTAAAGTGTGGAACATGATTTAATATATGTATACATTGTTAATTAATTGCACAGTTGGTTAGCACATTCAGAATTTAAGAAGATAAAATTGGACTGTAAGAATATGAACTTTATTTGGTAGAAAATTTCTCTTTTTTTGTTTAAAGATTTATTTATTTATTTGTGCATACAGAACTGGGGTACAGGCCAGAGGCTCAGGGGCGGTGAGAAGCTTCACCAGAGACAGAGTGGGGAGCAGAACAGGCAGATCTACGAAGTACACTGCTGAGGGAAGCAGCGGGCGGGTCAGGAGAGGTCTGGCTCGCCATGTGGTCTCCTCCGGGCAGGCGGCAGGCGGGAATCGAACTCATGCGGAAGCGGCTTCAGATTCTCAGTGCTGTGCTTTAACCCGCTGCGCCACCAGGGAGGGCCGAAAATTTCTCTTTTTTTAAAGCTGTGGTACAGGCCAGCTGTGCAGGGGAGGTGAGAGGATTCACCAGATACAGAATAGGGAGCAGAACAGGCTGATCAATGAAGTACCCTGCTGAGGGGAACAGCAGGCAGGTCAGAAGAGGTCTGCCACACCATGTGGGTCACCTTCCTGGCCAGGGATTGAACTTGTGAAGTGGTTGCAGTGCTGTGATTTAGCCATATGTGCCACCAGGGAGGGCCCCAGGTGGAAAACTTTCAACTTACCTTTATTAAACAATGTATTAAGATGCTATTGATACTTATCAATAAAAAGTTACAATTTTGGCCTCTCTCTGGTGGCACAACAGGTTAAAACACAGCACTAAGAAGCTATGAAGCCACTGCAACACAAGTTCGATCCCTGGCCAGGGGGTGGCCCACATGGCATGGCAGACCTCTCCTGACCCACCCACTGCTCCCCTCAGCAATGTTTCAGTCTATCTGCCTGTCCTGTCCCCCACCCCCCACTCTGTCTCTGGTGAATTCTCTTACCACCACCCTCGCACCTCTTGCCTGTATGTACCCCAGTTTTATATTTATAAATAAGTAAAAATTTTTTAAAGCTACATTTCAGGTATTGATGCAAATAAAATTATATTTCCATGAAAATAAGGAAATATTCACCATAAATTTAAAATCAAATCAATTTGTAAATTTACTTTGTCTCAGAAACATTCAAGAAATCCATGATAGTCTGAGAATCAGTAGGATTTAGTGCCAGGAAGTGTGCTGGCATCAATGTTGAACAAGTAGCACAGACAGGCTAATGCATCTGTCACCTGGCTTTTCTCCTGTTGATTGTTGGAATTATGTTTGCCATCTTTTTAAATATATTACAGTATGGAGTACAGAGAGGAGTGATAATCTAAGGTTTTTCTTTTTTTTTTTTTGAAAACCACTTCTTTGAGCTAGAATTCAGAGACCATATACTTTATCCAAATAAAGTGTGCAATTCAGTGGTTTTTAATATATTCACCAGCATGATCAACCCTGTCCATAATCAACGTTAGAACATTTCTATCATTGCTGAAAGAAGTCATCAATCATTTGCTTCAGCCTCCCCATCCCTCCACACCCTTAGGTATCAATAATCTACTTTCTTTTCCATAGATTTATCTATTTTGGAATTGGCCTATTTATGGAATCATACAATATCCCGTTGTAACTGACTCTTGTACTGTGCACATTGTTTTTAAGGTTGTCCATGTTGTAGCATGTGCTAGGACTTCATTTCTCTTAGCTTAAATTTCTGTGTATACAAAGTACAGATCTTTGAAGAATGTGCCTATTAATAGGTATTAAATAATTATATTCCTTTTCAGTTTTTCATTAGTGAAAATCATGGGGCATATAAACAGATCTCACAATACAGATGCAAAAATTGCACCAGTCACATAATCTAATTTTTAATTAAAATGGGCATATTTATCCTCTTAAGGGATCATGACTATTTGCTTTGATGCTGCTGGGCTTAAAAGGATTAGAATTTCCATACTCAATTTATGTTTTCAGGTGTGAGATTAAAAAAAAAAAAAGTGTTTTGCTAAAACTTGACCTGTAACATGTGGATTTAAAAAAAGTTTTCCATTTTTTTAAAAACAAATGTATCAATTATATATTGGCTTCATGGGTATTTATTAAAACAGAAAAAGAAAGGGCTATTAAATGTGATGTTACCATTTATTTGGTATGCACCTATGGATTTTTTTTAATACTAAAGGAAATGTGTTACATTTTTTATGGACTATTATTACACTTTTAAAAACTGTGCTAGGTTTACAATGACCAGAGGAATTTTGA